AGGAGCCCCTAGTAGCTTCTTGCTCCTAGTAGTAAGGCACTTGTTTCAAATAGCAAACATTGTTACTACTAGTAAGGCACCTGTTACTAGTAGCGATGCACTTTGCTCCTAGTTGACGCCGCTCCAGTCCCGTGCGCCTGGGCGAGTTTCGCCTGTCGAAGAAATGGAGTTCGAGTTACACGGCGTTTTTCCCGTCAAGGCTTGGGAGCAGGGCTGGTTTTGTCCTGCCACAAGGCATCACTCAGTGTTAGACTGTTGGATCCACTGGTGCAAAGCTGCAGCAAGTGCCAGTGCTTGTTTCGAAACTCTGAGGCGCAGTTCTCCCTTTGGGCTCTCATGCCTGCGCCCTTGATGTTGGGAGCCAATGTGCTGGAGCTGAGCCCTTATGATGCCCTCACATACAGCAACCTGGAGGTGCCTCTCTCGTTTTTTTCCTGGTTGAGAGGTTTTGGCGGGGAAGATTTTCTGCACTGGACCGATCTTGGGGGAACAAATACGAGTCCAGAGTCCAGAGCCTTTGGACATCTTCTTTCTTTGAGCACGGCCGATTTGTTCCTCCCAGATTCTTCCAGCCGCGGAGGCCATTGAGATCAACCAGGACCCCTTGGTGACCCCTGCCGAAGTGGTCTACCACAATTGCCCTCCATATCCCAGGCGCGCGACGACGGAGAAACGCCTGACGCAAAACGGGAAAACATGACGTGTCAGATGTGGTACGTGAAGGTCATAAACTTTACCCCCTGAAGATGCACACAATAGGATGCACGCACGCTTTCACGCATTGGTGCCGCACTAGATATCAAGTGGCTCGTAGGATTCCATGTGAATCATATTCATCCCACGAGCCGGGAGTTTGAAAGCTTTTGCGACACGAACAACATCACTCTGAGCACCTGTTGACTTGGCTGAGGTTTGTCATGGGCCAACGTGCCGATGGAGCGCCCGAGTTTGAGCTCCACACAAACGGGGTGCAGGACCCTGGCGCTCCTTTGAATGAACGTATGCGCGTCCAAAGGATATTACGAAGATGTACGATAGCTGGGCGTCCGAGCTCTGAAATCGGTCTCCGCCACCCAGTGACACGCAGGTGTCCACGTTAGAGATTCAAGTGCCGCTTCAACTCACCCACCCACGCACTCACTCATGCACTCCCTCCCTCGCTCGCTCACTCGCTCGCTCACTCTCCCTCTCTCTCTTTCTCTCTCTCTCTCTCTCTCTGTGCGACCTACCCGCAAATTTCCGAGCAAAAATGCTTATGTTCCCTGTGAGTGAAGCTGAGTCCCATCCAAGGTGGTTTGTGGAGCCCACACTGCGCCCAACTGAAGCTTGCTCCGCAGATGGTGTGTGGAGGTGACTTATTTTTATTTTTCTCAGCGGCTTGATTTTCAATCTAAGTTCTGAGCTTTAACCTTGAATCTCCCTCACCTCACACGCCTGAATGCATTTCAACAACGGAGTCTTCCGAAGACTCTTGAATCTCCCTTCTACTTGTAGCTTCATCAATAGGTCCTGGTCAAAGGCTGCCGTTCTCAACAAAGCTAACCGTTACAGGGTTGGACACAAACCTATACAAACGGTCAGTGACACATTCAAAAGAGACGACTCAGACTTTTGGTACTTTTGGGCCATCTCTTTCGGGCTCCCAACCGAGATCCCATGCGCGGAATAGTGCTCTCTTGCCGAAATAGCATGCACCCCCGCAGTTGTGAGACCTGGTCGCCCTAGAAAGCATTGGATGTTTGAGACGAAAGATGCCTGGGTATACTTCCACCCCCTCAATCCTGCTTTCACTTGCTCGGTCCAATACCTATGCGACCAAGCCACCAATAGAGTCAGGGTGTTCGCGCCGAGCTATTATCTTGTTTCAAGGTATTTTTGCACCTCTCGCTTCTACTTCGTTATAAGTTGGGTAGAGCCTGCGATGACTGTCGGAGAGTCCTCAATCATTGGGTGCATTTGTTGTGTGATATTTTGCTTATCTATGTCCTTGTGCGCCGACGACACCAAAGGGTGTCATGGCATCAAAGAAGAAGAAGAAGAAGGAGGAGAAGGAGAAGGAGAAGGAGAAGGAGAAGGAGAAGGAGAAGGAGAAGGAG